GAAGAGACTCTACTTAGTAGTCAGTGTGAAAGCCTGGAGAAAACACGAGGCTGGCCAAATGGCATTTCTTTCAGCTATGACGTTTATGTCCCAATTTGTTAACATTCAAGCTTTTATAATGTTAGAAAAGCAAAGCGATTTTTACCACACACAGATATTCATGTTCGAATTGTAGCAACAAACAGAACAAAAGGAAATAAAAAAAAAGATACTTCAATAATACTATTTTAATTGAAATTTGACTTCCACAGTTTTTCACATCTGAAGAATTTGAAAAAGAGAGAGTGTGAACAGACATTTCCATTATAATTATCCATCCATCCATGAAAACTTTGTCTGCAGGCCATAAATAGGTGTGTTGGATGGACGTCATCAGAGGCCACGCATCTTGTCAGCTAGGGCTTAAATCCAGCTTTTTTTGCCAATGGAAAGGAAGCCAAATGCCGATTGAACCTGTGTGTCCATCTCCAGTTAAAACATCATCTGTGAAAGCTAAGACAAATGGACCCAGAATTCAGGCAGACAGAACAGGATCTTTTAAGCTGGGACCTTAAGCTAGTCAGCTGGGACCGGCTTGCGGGATTTTCTGGTTTTTGGTTCAGTCCGTGTCGAGAGGAGAGAGTGGGAACCAATTGTATGACTTCTCCACAACATGCTGCAGTGCCATCCAGAGAGTTCCAGGACCACGCAAAGCAGCCCATAGATCGGACGCCAACAGATGATGAGGACTGAGAGGGTCCAGAGGCAGAATCCAGAGCAGGTAAAAAAGCAGAGTTCCACACCACAAGATCAAAGAGATGCAGAGGTAGCAGAGGGATAATCCAAGCCGGGGTCAGGGGTCAGATCCAAGGTCACTAACAGGCAGAGTCCAAACAGCAGTCCGAACACAGAAAACAGTCAGAAACAGACCGGAACAAAAGAAAACCAAAACTCAGTAATCCAAAGACATAAACGGGATCAGGTAGTCATATTACACTGCAGGGTATGCTAGATACTTCTCACACTCGGCTCGAATAATCTGGCACCGATGGCTGGAAAAGAGGCAGCATAAATAGGAGCTGGAAACAGGTGGATCAGATGAGCGGTAATGAGCAATCAGGCAGAGTTAGACAGGTCAATAAAATGAGCAATTAAGCGAGCTAGCAGGGCCAATTTCATGACATTAACTCCTTTTCATGACAGTGTAAAAAGTAGAAAAAGTAAAAACTTTGAAAGGAGTTATTTTGTATCTTCTTATTTATTACGTGATACTGCACATAAAAAACATTGATGGCAAAACGGCTTATGTTAGTTTGTGCCATTTCGGCTATGCCCTTACAGCAAGTCATAACAACTTGGTCGCAGACTTGGTCGCAAAGTTTTTACACCAAATGTCCTTCCTTATCCAACCAGGATTCAAACCCAAGTGCTCAGTATAAAAAATCACTTCATCATGGGGACTGCCCATTATGGTAACCTGACTAATGAACTTAGTGTTTTGTCAAATAAATTTCAGATTAATTATGAACTTTTATATCCCTGGAGTTTTTTTTTTTTATGGCATTGTTGAACTTTACCACACCACAGCTAGCGATAAATTCATAGTAAAATGTATTCATGCTATAAATGTTGGGCATAAAAGAAGTGATCACTGGAAGTTTGACTATGGAACCAATGCAATTTTAAGATGAAAAAAATATAGGAATCACAAGCAGTGATGCATTTTGTTTATAGACATTTTGCAGGAGTATGGCTTTATTTGTATAGAAGAAGCAGCTGTTTTTCTAATTAGACAAAACATGTGATACAGCTACTCAGCTACAGTGTTAAGTATGCATGAAGGCAGTGCTGGAACATTATCTACTGGATTTAATGTATTTTTCTACACATTGAAATACAAAGCAATATTTGTGTACTCTGTTTAAAGCAATATCACTGGTTTGTGGAAAAACAACTGACAGAACAAAAGAGATTACACAGCAACAGAAACACAAACATTAACTAAAAGATAGGAATACAAATTAAAATGTGTTGATTGGATTTTTTTGTGAAATGGGCTGTATATTCTAAAAAAAATGCAGGTTCCAGTAATTACAATTACCTCAATGTAATGAAAATTGTCAATCAAAGATTGAATATGTTTAGACGTCAGTTCAACATCTTTTAGATATTTGATGGGGAGCACATGGGGTTGGTTTATGTTTATTGCAGAGGAAACCACATGGCGACACAGAGCCGCTCAGAATTTCAGGTGAACTGCATGGGGGAAATCACATTCCCTCTGCTTCATGTGAAACATATTGATAACATATTCTGTTTTTATGTTCTCTCCCAGCGTGTCATTTTTTCCTCAGTTGGAACCAGTGCAGATAACTCAGAGCCAGAAAGGTTGTTGTTCATCCTGTCTGTACTCTACCACCTAGGAGTCAAGAATTAGAAAGGAATGAGAAACGTTTGCAGCAAACAGCTGTGTGGCTGTTTCTGCCAATCAATATCTTTTTCTATGCAAATTAGTGTGGTCAAAGCTATTTAGATAGACACCGGCCCTTACTAATGTTTTGATCAACAATCAGGCATAATTAATTGGCTTAACTGAAAAGATTTGAACTGTGCATACATTACATCACCTTTCTGATGATGTCCTTTACCTCAAGATATGACCATGAAGAAATTAACCTGTTTCCGATCACTCAACATGCTAATGGATACCGCTCTGAACCAAAGAAAAAGTGACATTTTGATATACATCATGGGTATAACATGAAAAGCCTATATAGGAGGATTTTAATGGACCAAAAGATCAAAATAATATGGCCAATGCAACCAGATGAAATAGTCAATAGAAATGGGTTTTAGCATACCCAGATGGTTGACCTAACCTTGAAACTGGACCTCAGTGTTCCCAAATACCCCAGCATACACAGCTAAGTCCCCATGCATACAGGCTGGTGAGGTTCCCTGTCCAGACATCGCTGTAGACCAGTGCCCTAGTCTCCCTATTCTGAGTGAGGTCTGTATATATTTGTGGTCATCAGTTCATTGAGATTGTTGAAACAAACAAACAACAAACCTTGCGAGACCATTTTTTGATGGATCATATCTGGCCAACGGTACTGGAAAACCTAACCTAAAGGATAGATCCCGTAAAATGGTAAATGGCCTGCACTTGTATAGCGCTTTTTCAAGTCAGGAGACCTGACCAAAGGGCTTTACACTACATTCAGTCATTCACACACACACTGATGGTGGCAAGCTACATTGTAGCCACAGCTGCCCTGGGGCTCACTGACAGAAGTGAGGGTGCCGTACACTGGCGACACCGGGCATTCTAACCACCATCAGTACACAATGCAGGTGAAGTGTCTTGCCCAAGGACACAACGACAGGGACTTGAACCGTCAATCCTTCGATTTCAGGGCAAACTCCTACACCTGACGCCACTGTCACTCATAGGATTCCTGCGATTTTGGTATTTTGTTGTGATGGAGATAGATGGAGGGACTATGTTGTGTTGGCAGTCGAATGGGCACTAATGCGGTCCGTCAGGTCGAAGAAAGAATTAAGGGAACAATTAAAGCTTCAATTCAACCTTCACCCATAGTTGCACAGTACAACATATTACAAGACTGGATGAGGGCATTTTTAAGTTAGCTTCCTTCTTTAGGTGGCTGGATTTGGAGACAGAGTAAAGCTGTGTCATCCAGGAGGAGTGTGATGTAGAGTTGCTTCTCATTAGTTATGCAAGTTAATGACATTGATGGGCTGATAAAGAAATAGTGGTGAATATAGGTTATACATTAGGTGTTTTTGTGCATGGTTGTTTATATGTGTGTTGCCTATTGATGTATTCCCCATGTCTAGATGGAGATAAGCACCACTCCCTTGGAACCATGTGGAGATTGAAATGGGTTAAATGTACATGGTGTCATGTTGGGTTTTAGGTGCTTGGCCCACATGCAGATCACACTCGGAGGCAGGAGACAGTTTTAGGTTGTGTATTTAAACCAGACAAAAACAGCACGGGATGAGTAAGCATAGAGACACGGAGCAGTGAAGTGCGGACCGGGGACGCTCGGATCTGAAGAAGGAGAGGGGTTGGAGGAAGTGGTTAAAATAGCGTACCAAGCAGAGTACCGTACGAACAGAAAAAAGGCTTACCAATTGAGATGGGAAACCGGACCGGGGAGAACGGATTGGACTCGGCACTGCCTGACCTTGGTGAGGCTGGTGGCTGAGAGACTGACGAGGGGGGGGGGGCTGAGAGCGGGACCGAGCAGCGCCGGCGGTCTTGTCCACAGAGCCAGCAGGAGGATCCAGGAGGGCCACCGAGGGAGCTCAGGAGGGCAGATTGAGCAGAGAAGAAAAACCCGAACACGACCATGGACCTGGGAGACACAAAAAATCGCTTTTAGCACGGGAATAGTTTTGCTGTCAGAAGACAGAGGCCACTGGTTCGTACCACAACGGTTAACACACAGGTGTAGGCGCCCTGCCCCTCTGTCAAACAGTCACCTGCAGAGAGAGGGGAGAAGGCCGAGCCAGCAGAACTGCAAGGCCCAGGCTGCCGAATCCTGACACATGGATGGATCTTATATTTATTATAAACACAGATCTTATTATAAAGAGAGTGTGTACCTTTACAAGGCTCGGCTGGGTATCCCGCTATGAATGGAAGGATTAAGACATATTTTTTCGGTTCCATGGATTTTGGGGTAGCGGAAGAGCTAAAGATGCCACTTTGACATTATGTAATGCAACTTTCTAAGTTTCTCTGATGTTATTTTAAGATGATTTGAAACCAATCCTAAAATCCATCAACAAGTTGTTAATTTATTCTTTTCAGTAGATGTCTTGGGTCTTGGTGGAAAACAGTATCCATATTACTAATGCAAGGTAGTTTAGATTGGTACATAATCTCTGTATTTCTTATGTCCTTTTTTAATAAACAATTCACATACCCAGGTAGTAAACAGAGTGTCCAGCTAGTAAACAGAGTGTTTAAAAATCTTTTATTGGTCTTACATGCATACATGGGTCTTAATACAGCCTTGTAAGGCAAAAAAGGACAACATTGCATATTACTGCTTGTGACTTTTTTATTGTTTTAGATTCCAGACTTTTAGCCTGGAATTTCCTTACATAACTAATTTAAATCCTCTGGTAAAACTCCTCCATGGTTCTATGAATTAAATTTTTTCCTTTGCCTTTTACTTTAGAGAAACCAGTGACCACTGATTGTTGTTTGCAGCAGCTTGCTTTAAAAAATAGGTAATCCTTTAAATCTTTTTGAAATATGACTCATGGATTTGCTTATAACACAGGTTAGAAATAAATAAGTAGATACATTTAATTGATTTAAATTCATTAAGTGTTCAAAATGTCTTAATTTATTAAAAGAAGATTTATGGACTTCTTATCCATCAACCAACGTACATTTTTTTTCAGATATCTTAAGTCTGGCCTGTGTCCAAGCTTATCTCAAAATTGAAATACAGCCTTTCATGTAAACATGTCTAAACAAATTAATCAAGGCTTTTGTTATGCAGGGACTGACAGGCCATGAAGAATCTTTTGGTTATGAGCTGTGTGTTTGCTTTTTATGCTGAGCCAGAATCAACTTATGTGCAATAGATTATCTGATTAAGTTACAGAGAGAAGTTACGGGACCTGTCAAACATGAGACTATTTGAATGTGTGTCTGGGATTAGTTTAGACACTATAAGGGTTTTGTTTTTTTTTGCAACTGGCCCTGGAGTGGAAACACAGGTGGATAAATCTGCAGTGAAGGGGCTGAGTCAGAACGGCTGTGAGGTTGTTGATGCTGGGGATTCATTTAATGGCAGGTTTCCAGACTGGTGCTGTCTGCTTGGCAAGGCTTCCTCCCAGTTCAGGTTCCCACACGGCCCTGTCAGTCACAAACAGTAAGACAGCTGTGTCATGCAGGTGCCAACTGGTACTCCTCTACCAGTATGGTTGACTTCACATCCTCTTTATTCACTGACTTATTCTGATTCATAACTGGATCATTGCTCAGACAAAGATATGCAAAGTAAAAACTAGAATATAATTCTTCTTCATATATCTATAACGAAAGTGTCTTTAGCTGATATATAGCATCAGTATTCCAGGAGCTCATCAGCATATCACTTTATGCAGGACAATAGGGTGACTGATGTGCCATAAGCCACTGTATTAATTTTGTACATTGGTGGAGCAAAATTTTTTGCTGCTCTTTCCAAACTAAGACCCTCCTCTCACCAGGACACTGCCATATGTGATGCCCTCCTGATGTGCTTGCTATAAAGGCCCCGGGACCACCACCTCTTTTCTCTTTGCAATGGAAGTTCTCCTCAGTGTTGCAACATTGGATAGAATTTTTTAACCCTTGCTCAAGATATATATATATATGTATATATATATATATATATATATATATATATATATATATAAATATATATCAGAAATACATAATAAGCTTCTCTAGTTTTGTGGAAAATGTTTGGGGTTTTAGGATGAGCCTTAAAAGAATAACACCACAATTTCCCCATTATGGGACAATAAAGAGATTTGGATTTTCTTTTCTATTCTAAGTTACGTAGACTGACAGACCATGTCCAGAACCAGATTACTGTAAAACAGACTGTCTGCAACATTCTCTTTGAGTTCATAGCCTGGACATAGTAAGCTTTCCTGAACATCGGAGAAGTTGAACTTTCTAACAGAGGTTGCAGCTCTTGGAAAGTCAGGGGATGGTTTCCAACTAATTAATTTGGCATTTTATGATTTCTGATCATTGTATGCCTTTTGTTGTTGACTAAAGCAAGCAAGCAAAAGTTTATAGCAAACACATGGTAGCGGATGCAACACTAACATGTTTCAGCTGTTGATTATACAGTTAAGACCAACTTTTTGTCAATAAGGGTTTAAACACTAACATGAAGTCAACGCTAATGCTTTTGCTGATATGCTCATTATATTTGATTGCTAAAAAATGAGTTTGAGTCCAATGAGTCCTGTCAAATCTGCCAACAATCAATCTAGTAAAAGTAAACCCTCTGCATTAAGGGCTCCAAGCCATTTTTATTGTCAGAAGCTCAGAACGTTGGACCCAGAATTCAAACAGACAGATCAGATTTAGAAACAAGTGCTTATTTAAGAGAGAAACCTGCGCCTGCTCTTCACCTGGGGCGGGCTCATTGGATACTCTGTAGAGATGGAAACTCAGGTCAGTGACTTAAGAACTCAGACAGGCAATGATAATTAGCATGAGAGTCACCAACCTAAAGTTCAATCTGAGGCCAGAAGAAGGAGTGAGGTCCAGGGGAGCACCAATGCCTGGGAACAGGTGGATCTGATTAGAGGCAATGAGCGCTGGGCAGAGCAAAGCAGGTGTGAGAAAAAGAGCCAACCGCAGCCATAGGTGCTAATATCGTGCCAGTTATACCATCAGGAACAATCACATTAGGTTAAGAAACACTTATTTCCTCACAACCCTGTCCTCTCTGACCACTTTCTAATAACCTTCAGGATTACTTTAACAGAGTTCTCCTCCCCCAAAAGAAGGTTCAATTTTAGTAGATCTTTATCAGATAGTGCAGTTATAAATTTTAAAGAATCTGCTTCACTTTCTCTCTGCTCTGTGTCACTGAGCAGTGCTGCAGAGTGCAAAAGCTTAGCTTATTCCCCTTCACAGGTTGATGATTTTGTTGAGGGGGTTGCTAGTTCTCTGCGCATTGCCTTAGACAACGCAGCTCCTTTGAAAATGAAAACCGTTAAAAATAGAAAGCTTGCTCCTTGGTTTAATGCAGAGCTGCGTACTTTGAAGCAAAATGCTAGGAAACTGGAGAGAAAATATCGCTCCACAGGCCTGCGAGAGTCCTTCCTAGTCTGGAAAAATGGTTTACTGCTGTATAAGAGGACCCTTTGTAAAGCAAGAGCAGCATACTTCTCCTCATTAATAGAGGAGAATAAGAATAATCCTAGATTTCTTTTTAATACAGTTGCCAAACTCACCCAGAGCCATAGCTCTGTTGAACCGTCCATTCCACCTGCTCTTAGCAGCAATGATTTTATGGGATTCTTTATAAATAAGATTGATCTTATTAAAAATAAGATCATAAGCACTCCTCTATCCGCGATTGTACCTGAGGTAGTCATGGAATCTGAACCGGGTTTAGACTGCTTTGATCCAGTTGAACTCTCTGAATTAGCAAAATTATTGTCTTCATCTAAGCCTTCAACTTGTATGTTAGATCCAGTTCCAACCAGGTTATTTAAGGAGGTATTCCCTTTGATCTCCTCCTCCATTTTAGATGTGATTAATCTATCTCTGTTACAGGGATATGTACCTAAAGCTTTTAAGATTGCTGTAATTAAACCTCTGCTTAAGAAACCGTCTCTTGACCCAGATGACTTGGTCAATTATAGACCTATATCCAATCTTCCTTTCTTATCCAAAATTCTTGAGAAAGTAGTTGCCAAACAAGTTTGCGATCACTTCCACCATAATGAACTTTTTGAAGAGTTTCAGTCTGGCTTTAGAGCTCATCATAGCACTGAAACAGCTCTGGTGAAAGTCACTAATGATATTCTCATGGCCTCAGATAATGGACTTGTATCTGTGCTCGTCCTGTTGGATCTTAGTGCTGCATTTGATACAGTTGACCATAATATTCTTTTAGAAAGACTTGAATATTTTGTTGGAATTAAAGGAACAGCACTAGACTGGTTTAAATCTTATCTATCTGATCGAATTCAGTTTGTTCATGTTAATGATAGATCTTCAACACGCTCAAAGGTTACCTGTGGAGTACCACAGGGATCAGTGCTAGGACCAATTCTCTTTACTTTATACATGCTCCCAATTGGTAGAATTATTAGACAGCATGGGATTAATTTCCACTGTTATGCTGATGATACCCAGCTATATCTGTCTATAAATCCAGATGAAGCTAACCCATTACATAGATTACAGGCATGTCTTGAAGACATAAAAACCTGGATGACTCTTAATTTTCTGCTTCTGAATGCAGACAAAACAGAAGTTATAGTCTTTGGACCAGAGTCTCTGAAAAAGAAACTGATTAGCCAGTCACTTCATTTGGATGGGATTAAACTGATTTCAGATAATAAAGTAAAAAATCTTGGTGTTATTTTTGATCAGGACCTGTCATTTAAATCCCATATCAAAGAGGTTTCTAGAATTTCCTTCTTTCATCTGAGGAACATTGCAAAAATTAGAAATATCCTGTCCAGGGGTGATGCTGAGAAACTAGTCCATGCATTTGCTACTTCAAGGCTGGACTATTGTAATTCTTTACTATCAGGAAGTCCACAAACTGTAGTTAAAAGCCTTCAGCTGATCCAAAATGCTGCAGCCAGAGTTCTAATGAAAATGAAAAAGAGAGATCATATCTCTCCTATCCTGGCTTCTCTTCATTGGCTTCCTGTTAAATCAAGAATAGAATTTAAAATCCTCCTTCTCACATATAAAGCCTTAAATGGCCAAGCTCCATCTTATATCAGAGATCTGATTGTTCCTTATGTTCCTAACAGAGCACTTCGCTCTCAATCTGCAGGTTTACTAGTGGTTCCTAGAATTTCTAAAAGTAGAATGGGAGGCAGATCTTTTAGTTATCAGGCTCCTCTCCTGTGGAACCAACTACCAGTTTTAGTCCGTGAGGCAGACACCCTGTCTACTTTTAAGGCTAGGCTTAAAACTTTCATTTTTGATAAAGCTTATAGTTAGGGTGGCTCAGGTTATCCTGAGCTATCTCTATAGTTATGCTGCTATAGGCTTAGACTTTTGGAGGACATAGGGACCCCCATTTCATCATTCTGCTTCATTCTCTCTCTGTTCTCCTATTCTGCAGAATCTGTTAGTTCAATCTCTAACCTTCTGCTCTCTCTGCTTTTCCTCAGAGTAGCTTTGCCTCGTCTGTTCCTGTTTGGCTGTGACGTCATCCTGGAAAAAAACATCAGCTGTGCTGCTTCTATCAACACCCTTGTTAATAGATGTTGGAGATCGGCCTGTTTTCCAGTGTGGTCCTGTTTCTCTGACCGTGACTGAGTGGATGTGCTCTCTTCGTCCTCTGACATGGGAGCTGCCTTGGAGCTCGTCTGCCTGGCTGTGTGTTTCCTGGACGGGGCCGCCTTTTACAGCTGCTTTTTGTATCTCTGCTTCTGTCTCCTTGAACCCCAGTCGGCCTCGGCAGATGGCCGCTCACACTGAGCCTGGTTCTGCTGGAGGTTTCTTCCTGTTAAAAGGGAGTTTTTCCTCTCCGCTGTCGCTACAAGCATGCTTAGTGTGGGGGATTGTATTTGAGTCAATGAGTCAATGCAATCAATTGGTTTTCCTTAGATAGAAAACTTTGTATCAATTTGACTGTATGATCTGGTTGAACTGTAAAGTGCCTTGAGATGACATGTGTTGTGAATTTGGCGCTATATAAATAAACTGAATTGAATTGAAATTGAATTGAATTGAATTATTGATATATCTGATCAGGAAAATCTTTTTCATAAATAAAATTAGAACTCCAAACTCTTTCATATAAACTTTGGTTCTTAAACATGAAATCCATGCTTTACTCTAATATTATAACAACACTTTATTGATCACGGGTTCAACCATTTTGATTATAATTTTTTTTTGTTTTTTCCTATGTGTGCATAGCAATGTAATATAGTGTAGTTGGGTTTCTCTAGTTTTTAATTAAATTATTTTGGACTTAGAGCTAAATGTTTTTATGTTTATAAACTCTTATAAGTTTTTTTTTTATTATCCCATATACGGGAGATACAACTGTTTGACTTCACCATGATTTGATCATCAATCACACTTTCAGTTGTTATCCTAACACAGTCAGTTGGGAGTGTGGTCACAGAATAAAACATGAAATTCAGTCAAGTTATTTGATTAAATATTAAATACAATGGTAATTATTTGCATAACACTAAAAATGTATAATATGTAACATGGACGCGACACTCACAAATAAAGTGCATCTCAGTAAACTGAAGTATATCCAAAAAGCTTATTTACATCAGTGACTCACTTTAAAAGGCATAGTTGATATACAGTATAATTTTCCTGACACATAGACTGATAATTCAGCTTTTCCCCAAAAAATACAATTAAATATATTTTAATACTGAGAGACATAATCTTTAGCACTGAAATGCTACGGCCATCACAATTACAAGGATGAATACAAGTTAACAATCAAAAAAAGAATATATTGGTAAACAAGCAGCTCTCTTCAGGTTTATCCACACTAAAGGCCCAGTATTATCCACAGTCATTGATGATGCAGTAAGTAATTTAATGTGTTTTTGTTTGTTTGTTTTTTTTTTGAAAGAGAGAGGGTTTAATTTTGTGGTTTCAGAGGGCTCTTTCTTTAGAGATGAATTATTTAAGTTTCTTGTGTTGTCCATGAATAATGACAGGATAAAACAGGAAATAGATAAACTGATTATGTCCTCATCTGCAAATCTGAAAAAAACTTGGACAGAAAGAAAAATGGGCTGATGTTGGTTCAGCCCATAGACTGCGGGTTGGAGAGACCATCTGCTTAAACTGATCTCACGACGTCGCTTTTTGATCCTTTGATGTCGGCTCTTCCTATCATTGTGAAGCAGAATTCACCAAGCATTGGATTGTTCACCCACTAATAGGGAACGGGAGCTGGGATTAGACTGTCATGAGACAGGTTAGTTTTACCCTACTGATAATGTGTTGTTGCAATAGTAATCCTGCTGTGAGATCGACTTGACTAGTGAGCTGATAGTAATGCTTCACTCAGGGACCCAGAAGATAGATCTGCCCTTCGAATAAACACAGGTTTGAATTAACCTGTCCATGATGAGAAAGATGAAGCGACAGTGGAGAGGAAAACCTCCCCTTGGGAAGAAACCTCTGGCAGAACCAGGCTCAACAAAGGTGGTCTGCTGCCGGACCAATTGAGATATGATAGGCAATGCAGTAGGAATCCGGAAAGAATTACACTCTGATAGGGACAAGATTGAAGAAGAACTATTGAAAAGACAGATGGAGCTTAGCTACGATGTTAGAGAAGGGAATGGAGGTGGGTTGAGTCAAAATCAGACATAGTGTAACAACTACTTGCGCTTGGCTCGGTAGCAGGCTGAGTTGGGGATTTGTATACCTTTTGAGATGAACTCTCAAAGCTGATTGGGCTTCTCGGAGGTGCAGATCAAAACTGAATGGCTAGCGACAGAGGAAGATGAGCCTCTGATGGATGAGGGTTAGCAATTTAGTTTCTTCAGTTGAAGTTCTGCCTTGGCTTCATTAGTAACTTTCCAGTCTGTCATAATGAAGACGGAGGTGAAAAAACACCTCCGTTAAGTCCTTCGTCTGCTGATCTACATGACCAGCAGTGCAATATCCTAAATGGAAAAAAAATATCTTTCCATGTGGTTTTAACAGTCTTACCCTCAGTTTGAGGACATACCTCTGGAGAAGGGCTGAGAGCAGATCAGCTGTTTCCCTCCTGAGGATTTTTTAAAGGACCTGGAAAAAAAAAACAGTTTGAGAAGTTAAAAAAATAAACATGCAGTGTTCATATGTACAATGCTGGGAGACTTTCTTTTTTTTTTTTCAAAATATTACTGTTATGTGCAAACGTGAATTCCAGTAAGAAAAATGAATAGAGTTTTCTCCAGTCTTAAGAATTTTACAATTTTCCTGGATAATCACAGTTTTCAAATTGGCTTTGTTTTTGAAATATTTCCATGTAACTTATAATTTATCAAGTCTTGACATTTCTACAGTAGCTTTCTGTCAGAATCAGAGTAAGGAAATGAAGAAAAGGCGTGTCTTTGCTGCATCCTGTCACAGCTTGACTCCCAAACAATGACCCTTCAGACAGATGTGACTCCCGAGAGTATGTTAATTAAACTCATTTCAGATAAAAAGCAGGGGGTGATGGGTGTTCTCATCATCCCAAATGGCTTGTCTTGTTTCATTTTGTGTTGGCTGACTTCAAGTCAGAGTAATGAAGAGATAAGATGTATGTGTTTGTGTGCGCTAATGAACTTTCAGTGCTCCAACACCACACAAACACACAGCTATGCAGTCACACCTGCTGTCTCTAGAGCATTATTAGGAGGGCTTTCTGTTTCACATTCACTCAGTTATTGTGGCAGGAGACCATGCAGCTGCAGCCTAGACTCTGTCTGCTGACTAAAACAGGAATAAAATCATGTCCAAGGTCATCAGTCACCGCCTGTTTCCAAGGAACCAGCTCCAACATTTTTCCTGGATTCCTGTCAACTTCTTGCTACAGTCACCCTGATTAAAATTGAATCAGATTTAGACCAACAGCTTTGTACCACCTTGAGGGTTTTTTTTTATTTTATTTTGTGTAAATGTGTAAATGGAATATCCGGCATATGTTTTAACTTTGTAAACAGAACCAGTAAATCTGTATCGTCATTATGAAACCAAGCATAATTTTGCAACTCCCCCAACTTAAAATACATCATTTTTTAAGTCACTGAAAGCACTAGTGGCAAATTGAAATAACCTTAGAGGCTACTTTTAGAAAAAATTAAAAATAAAACAACATTTGGGGAATAAATGGTAGAAACACTTTTACATTTAAAAGAAACAATAGAAATACTTGCAGAATATATCAAACATACTTAGAAGCAAGACATGTACATAGGCATACATCAAGACCTGCGCAAATACAGTGCAGCTATAGTAGGATCAAAGTCAGAATCAACCTTAGTGGCAACGTCTGTTTTCCTCACAAATAATTGAACGTTGATTTTCCATACCTCACCTCATTATAGAAAATAAACACCCACACTTAAAAAATGCACTTTAATCTTGTAAAGACGAGGTAATGGTGCAAAAATTTTAAATGTTTGAGCATAGTGTCTAACTATCCTTGAGTTCAATTGAAAGACAATCTGGGTGGAGAAACAGTACCCCAATTATTAAAGTCTCAACTAAAATATTTATTTCACAAACTTATTTCATCTCTCTTGGCAAGGCCATTATATTTCAAAAGCACATTTCAGGGGCCAGACAATTTAAAGAGATTATTTTTAGCAGATGTTTGGAATGTGGTGGAGTACAATGTTCACATTACTGATGCAAAGTAGTTTAGGTTGTCATTTTAACTCTGTATTTCTGTAGTTCTTAACTTTTTTTATTGAATGATGCACATGCTGTGCAGTATTTAAGTAAATCATTGTTTTAAGATAGCGGATGTTCCGACTGTAAATACAGGGTTTTTAAAAATCTTGTATTTAACTTTGATGGAGTGTATCAGTCTTTGTGAGAAAAAAAAAAGACAACTTTGTATATTACTGCGTGTTATATATTTTTGGTTTTAGATTTAAATTAGCATAACTAATTTAAAACCTGGCAAAACTGTTCCTTGGTTCCAAAAAATGAAAATATACATGTGAAAAAAAGTTTCTTCAAGGAGAGTAAGATTTTATTTACATCAGTTTATTTTCTAAGAACCTTAACCTTATTTCCATGTAGGACCACAAGTTAAATGTTAGTCAGCTTTTGGAGACAGATGATTAGTCTGCCCTTACATGAGAGCTACCAAAGCCGGGGGTCCAACTTTTTACTATTTAAAAAGGCTGCCAATTTCAGATGAAATTAAACCAGAGGTCTCCAGGTCCTTTGCCCCCCTACCTCTACTCACCATAACAAAAAATAAATAAATTAAATAACAGCAAGATTAACATGCTTCGCCAGCCCTGAAGCTGCTGAGGAGGAAATACAATTATTGGATTCAGACGTGCAAAACCAGAGACCCTAAAACATGCAGGACAGTGGATTGAGGACCACTGAATCAACAATTTAGTAGTGGTAGGTTAATCCGGCTTAAGAAAGTAAAAACACTACTTAGTTTTTCTACATGCTGTTCACTTACCAGAATGATCTTTGGCAAGTGGTCCTAAACTGAAATCCTTGAGTGTTAGTATCCTACAACATTTAGATGTGTCTCTTGCCCTACATACCTAAAGTTGATGTCTTAACTACCTCAACTACCAATTTCAGTTCCTAGGCAGATGTGTTCCATATTTTACTTTTGTTGCAAATGTAGAAAATAAACAATACATGCTGACCCTAAGTGTTGGTTCATCATTGTCCAAAATTCTGCATACTAATATTTGTATTTGAAGTGAAACAAATCCGGAACTTTTACCTTTTTTTTCCCCACTTCTTCAGGATTATCCATACAATTGAACAGAAGGCCAGTCGATTTCTGAAGCTCCTTTTCTTTTCATGGCCTCAGGCAGCTAGAGTCCTTACAGCCAATTAGCTCAGACAGCAACAGCATCCAACATAAGCTGTGAGGAGGGCATGTAAAAAGATTTACAGCTTTGAGAGCCAAATCCACCCTCATGTCTTATCGCTTCCCCCAGGGCTTCGGCCACCATACAGAGGAGGAAATAGGCTGTTTTGCCTAAGAATGGTTGGTCTTAGGAGCTTTTTGTAGGGAAGTGGTGGGAAAATGCCTTCTATGGTCAACAGAAGGAAAATGGGCCATGAAGATCAAAGTTGGCACTGCTCTTTGTCAGTCATCATAGAGTGAGTGGGCTCAAACAGCCCATGATAACCACAAAAAGTTCTATGAAAGTCTTTGCTTACACAGAAATAGATATTAAAGCTGTTTGTCAGCACTTTGGTTGTCCTCCCTTTCCAGACTATACTGCAGTTCATTCTGATTAACCAAGCTCTAAACTGACATCTGGAATCCATCCCAGGTCCGCCCTTTCTTCTTTGTCTTCAGGTACAAACTGCCAAGTGTTTGTTTAGATTATATTTCTGGTCTTTTGCAGTTCGTCTCTCTGAGGCTCTTTTTCTGGAACACTTCATGTCTGGTGGGCAATAATTCATTTTTGTTTACAAGCAGCCTGGAGACACTATAAATTCACCTGCAGCCACGACTACAGTTTGAGAAGACAAGCAGAAAGAGTCCAATGTTTTTTTACTTCCTTGGCAGAAAGAGTAACAGTTTGCAGGAATTTTAATTATACATATTGTGTTAAACCAACAAAAGAACCGGCAAACTCCTTTTTTTCTTTTACTCTTCCAATTTTAAGGTTTTAAAGGGCTTTCAGACAAACTATGAGAAATTTGAATTTGCTTTAAAATAATTAAGGAATACTTTAAATTATTTTTCAAACAGCCTTTTCTTTACAGTAATACATTGTATCACTAGCAATTTGATTAAACCTATAAACAGCCATAGAACACGGATAATGAATTCTTTCATGTCATGCCATGAATGGCATGGTTCAAGTTTTATCTCTGAGTTTTCACTGGTCTTATTTCCATTCTTGTGTTCTAGTTATTTTTTTTATTGTATTTTAGCTCCTAGCTCCCTGTTCACACCTGCTCCCAATCTGCTAATTAGCCTGGTGTTTGTTTCTCTCTCCATTTTATTCTCCTCCTGTTCAGTCACTCTTGGCTGGTTTGACGTCATTTCTTTACCCCCTTTTTGTAAGTATTCCTGGTTCTCAGTTTTTGTGGATTTGGGGGATTTATGTTTTAGATTGTTGCTTCTGTTGAACTTTTGTTATTAAACCTTCAAGTAACCACCTCAAGCTTTTGTGTCTGCCTTTGGGTCCTGTCAAACCTTCAACCCCAATCTGGCAATGAATAGATATGGAAAGAAATAAAAGTGGGTTCATAAAACATAAATCAGAATTTGTCATAGTCAACATAAAAATATTCTCGTACAGTAAATACTGTCATGTTTATTGATGTAGAACTGATAAATCTCTTTAAAGCTACAATGTATAATTTTCAGCAACATCTAATGGTCAGACTGCAGTGACATGAAGCTTTTTATATAAAAATGGAATAAAGCAAAAATAATGTTAACAAAGGATAAAGCACCGAATCATCGAATCACTGAATCATCAGTGGTCAGTGGCTTTTTAAAAATTTGTTTTAATTTAGCCCTAGAGGAACTGTTTCGTATTCTACCTCGAGCGTAGACTCAGACTAGGTGATGCATTCTCTTATCTCGCTCCACCTCTCAGTTTGCCCGTAGGCTCCACTGATTGTCGGCGGTCCTTCGGGTATCTCCTGATTTACCCTCTCGAGGCTAGTCTTGGCCTGCCGTTGTCTCTTCCTGCTCTGTCTCCCAGGCGGACTTCTTCGATCTCACTGCGTCCTCCTAACGGTAAGCCAAAGCCACTCTCCCCTGCCTTCAGACTTGTTTACGCCCGGCAGAATAATCAGGTCTTCTGTTCTGCTTTGATCGTCCACAGTTGGACTCTAGGTAGCCTGTAAGAGCTGTAGCCTCTTTAGGGCCATCAGAGCTGTTTCCTGGCAGGCCTCTCTGTGTAACAACTGTTTTCCTCAGCTCTCTTCCTGAGCTAGCAGCAGCAGGCTGCCGCCTCACCGCTGTTGTTCCTTAGCTCCAGAGGGGGCATGGCTTCCTGGCTCTCTCAGTCATTGTTCTGACACTAATTCCTCCCTGCCCATGCCTCTCTTTTCTGTGTGGGT